AATATTTGAGCTTAACTTGAAAAAAAAATATTGCAATAACTATCATAAATATGAATGTTGGTCGTTATTTTAAGAAGTAAGGGGATACAAATGGAAATATTTTAAAACGACAACTTTTTCTTCCCTTTCTTTCTCAGTGAAACTTAGTAGCGTCTCTTGCGTATGTTCACGGTCGAAACGGAATAGATTAGGTATCTCCACTTTTTTGCTGAAAAAACAGCTTAGCGTGATAAAAAAAGGCCCCGAACTTAATATAAAAAACAAGGTTTTATCATCAAAATATTTATTATTAAGCGGAAACGCCAATATACATAATTTTATTATTTCAATAGATTTTTTAATCCTTTCCATCACGTTCGAAATTTGTGTTAAAAATCTTGTTTTCACGTCAGCGACTGACGTAACATTTAAGCGTAGTGTTTTAGTACCTTTTTTTAGTGGTGAAAAAAAAAAAAAAAAAACACACTGATTTGGAAATTTTATCAATAATCGAGTATTTGTCTAATTTTAATGAAATTTTCAGAACTTATTTGAAAATGAATAAAATTATGTTCGAATTTTTTTCAGAAAATTTTTTACATTTGTTGACCACTCCCAACACAAACTTAATTTAATGAAATTTATAAAAATTTAATTTTCATCCGATTTTTTTTTTTTTTTTACAAGCAGGGATCTTTGTAGAATATAAAAATTTTTTTAAATAATATTCATTTCCCGAAAGTCTGCTCAGAATCATGCAATAAAACTATGAAACTAATTAGAAAAGCTTTTAAATACTTTTATAAATAATATTTATTAAGGACACTATTGTCTTAAAACATTTTTCCGAGTACTAATGAATTTTTACAAAAATTGTTTTCATTTTTAAAAATTTTAGTTTTAATTGTTAATCTTAAAATTCTGCATTACTTTCATCCGATTAGGTGATATTGTTATTAAGTGAAAACTATATTTACTAATCAAAATCTGAGAAGCTTAATACAAATCATCTAAATTTTTAAAATAATTTTTATTTTATTTTTATGTATATAAAATATGAACCATGCCAATTTTTGAAAGTATGGATGGATGGATGTTGGATTTAACGGCATGTCAACTCCTATTTGGGTCATTTTATGCCAATCCTTATTAATTTATGAATTTAAGATGGTTATTTTGTATAAAAAGGTTGAAAGACTGTTGGGTTTCATAATCTTCTGTATTTTTTGGGATTGCTTTTTCTTGTGACTGTTTCTGATTGTGTATTTTAATATTTACATACATACATGCATATATATGTCTATAAACACATATACACATTTGAAAGTATGGTCGACCATAAACATTATCAGAAATTAAGAGCGATGACTATAGTAAATTTAAAATCAACATTCCTAAAATTAGATTACGGAGAACGTTTTCCTACATTTTAAAATTCGCTGAGTACTTAAAATTTATATAAAAAGCTTTCACGCCATTTTCTAAAATTATGTTTTACAGATAAAACCCCCGTAGAACAATCATTACAACATCACCTTTCAACGCCTTGTGAATTACGTAAAAGATGGCGATGTCAGTTAAAATCACAGCTACTGTTTTGCTTTAAAATATATATATTTCTGTTATTTTAAACTTCAATATAATATTTTTTTCAAATAAGATTAATTATATAAATTTTCTCAAAGTTTCAGAAAAGTATTTTATTTTTGAAAGATTTTTTTTTAACAGAGTGCATTGTTTTGATGTGCGGTGTCCTTTCATGTCGTAAGCGATCATGGCTCTCCGACCTCGCTCTATCCCTTGAAGCTCAAGTTACTTCCCTCTGCCACCTTCCCCAGCCCACGTTCTGTCGTCCACTTGCTTAAGCCCGCCAGGTATGTCATACGTTGTTTTCCCTTGGCTGTTGCGATAAAAGAATACGAAAAGTGCACTAATCAGCTATTTTAGAAAAAAATCGATTTCAATCAATATAATTTCCGTTTGAAATACACCAGAGTATTTTGCTTAATGGAAATAGTAAATTTAATCCTTTAGCTTTCAAGTAAAAGAAAGTTTTTTTTCATTTACAAAAAAAAAAGCATTTTAAATCTTAGGTATCGAAAATTAGTGGAGGTACTTAGATATTTTTAAGTTATTGGCAGAGTGTAACGGTCGTGCGAAGTAACTAAAGAACTAATTTAAAAAAAGGGAGAATCCAGCAGAAGTATATTTTATTTTATTCAGTAGGTTATTTTTACCAGTGATATTCATATTTCTTGTTTTTCTGTTGTCTTTTCTAAGTTACCTTTGAGGTTGTGAATAAATGTATAAATTCAGTTATTTATGAGATAAAATACAGTCAAAGATTCAGAATCGGCCATCTGCTGCTGTGTATTTCCATTCGCGATGCCGAAAAGAGTTCCAATGAAATGCAAATATAATTGTCACTTGAAAAACTGTTTTATCTTTGCTGCGAAGAATATGGCGACAGCGGAACAAATTTTGTTTTGATGTCTGTATATAAAAGGCTTTGTATTTTGTTTTTCTATTTGTTCACAACATTTTTTTGTTTGTTTAAGCAGCAGATTAATCATAACTTTGGAATTTCACGAAGAAGATGAAAAATTGTCTTTCTACTTAAATCTACATCTGGTCAATATTTGCTTTCTGCTTGTTTGGGGCCAATTCGCCAAAGGTTACGCACGTCTGTGTAACATTACACTAATTATAGTACTAGCAAAGGGTTACAGGTTTCACTGGAGGATTGAATCTATTTTTAACCATTGATCTGAAAAAGTAGCTATATGCACCCGGCTCTTGATATTTTTCAACGAGTTTGGGTGCCAAGCCTGACATTCATGTGAATTTCTTGATCTGACGATGTTATTTCAGAACATTACCCGAGTTTAATATTTTAGTTATTCCAAATGACAGAGGAGTTTCTTTTTATTACTTACAGGTGTTAGTATGGTGGTTTACGAAGCGCAGCTTAGATGTGGCACAAGCCCGAATGTGCGGAGCAACCAGTGAAGATCGAACTCACTTTTCAGCCGTAACTGATCTAGCAATACAAGCTTGCTAGCCTTCACACCACATCGAAGTGCCCAAACGGATTTACTAAGCTTAGCTTAGGTGTGGGACAAGGCTGAATGTGTGGGACACCGAGTGAGAATCAAACTCGCTATACAGTCGTAATTGATCTAGCGAGACAAGCTTGTTAACCATTACACCACGTCAAAGCGCTCACTAATCAGTATCTTTTATACATTACTTAAATTAGCGTTTTTTTTTTGTTTTTTTTTTTACTCGAAATAAATTTGCACATTTATCATTGGAAGCCATTTTAAAGACGTTTTTGATATTCCTTTGCTACTTAATGATTTATGGTCGCTCCGAAATAGCATTTGTTTTGTATCTGTCTATATTTCTGAGATGAGATATTATGTACACTATTTACATTATTCGGACTATTGTCCTCATCTTTGTCGCCATATTTATTACAAAGTTTCGGCCTTACGCTCCGGGCTTCTTTAGGTGGTTGGAAGGATACATGGCACAGTGGATAAAGGCGTTAGTTAGATCCAGTGACAGGACCCAAAGAATGCGAGTCCAATACCCGGTTAAGGCCATGGAGAACCTTCATTAACAGGAGATAACTGATAACTCACATCCATTAAACATGGCACGTGGAACTAGAACAGTCTACCCCAGAGAGCGAAATAAAGGGTTCAGTTCGACATTCCAACCACCTGAAGAAAACCGGAGCGTACAACGGCCGAAACGCTGTAATAAATATGTCGACAAAGATGAGGACAATAGTCCGAATAATGTAAATAATGTAATCAGATTTAACATTGGAATAAATAGATATCTCTTAATGGAAGAATGGGATATACAGAAAAAAATTAAGAAATGATTGTTTTTACGGCTTATCAAAACTTAGGTTATTTAAAGGCAGAAATATTTTTAAATATTTCAGAATATTCTTTTTTTTTTTGTTGTTGTGGGGGACATAATGGTTTAGTGATACAAGTCTTACTAATTAACCTATAGCTGGAGGTGGAAAGGTGAACTCATACATTTCCCAAGGGTATTTGCGCACAGTTGAATATAATGAACCCAAGGGGAAGTGGAACTCGGCTCTCCGATTAACAATCGGAAGCCATTATCAGCCAAGCTTACGCTACCTGCCATTCCCAAATAATCACCTGTGACGTCGGCCCCTCCTTGGTCGCAGCGTCGACTCTGTCGTTCGATCTCGTTCGCGGCTCCAACTGTGACGTGACGTGATGTGGCCGCCCAAGGGTCGATCCTTGTCACGGACAGCACCAGTTGTGACGTTTTTGCCGCGGCGTCAGCTGTTCGCTCCTCGCTGCTTCAAGTGTGACGTTCCAACCCTTTGGTTAGATGATTACCAGCCTCGCCGTTCCCAACTCGCTTCCAACACCTGGTTACTAGGGTAACTGTACTGATCTCCGGTCTGCCTACCCACGTTGTGATTAGATCTTAGACAGACGGGATCAAACAGGAGTCGGGGCCGTATGCCAGCTGGGTTCAACAGGGTGGCAACACAAGTAAAAAAAAAAACTCACGAGGCAAAAAATTACTGATAAAAAAGGGTAACAACCTTTTATATCTAATGTTCGTTACATAAAATTATTCTTACTTCCCGACCCGTTTTGTGGACTGTGGCACCAAGCTTCTATCATACAACTTAGAGACTTCGAGTTGCCTACTCTTTAGAAATTTGTATGTCGGAGTGTGGTTTGGTTTCGACACTGGGCGTTAATCTCTACCAGTCGTTCACGGCTGATTCTTCTCTTCGGCTTGAGTTGGACGAATTTCTTCACTTCGATTTGGGTTGGACGAATTTCAACCCTCAAGCTTGGCCTGGTTTCAACTTCTTCTAGACGCAACTGCATGTAACTTCTTCCGTCCTGCAACTCTTCTCGCCAAGGTCCGAACTCTTCTCTCTGCCGTCTGAGGTGAACTCTTCTCTCTGCCTTCCGGGGCTGAACTGATCTGCTTGTCTGGCCTGCAAGTTTACTGCTTGTCTGGCCTGCAACTCTTCTGCCTGTCTGGCCTGCAATTCTTCGGCCTGTCTGGCCTGCAGCTCTTCTGCCTATCTGGCCTGCAATTCTTCGGCCTGTCTGGCCTGCAATTCTTCGGCCTGTCTGGCCTGCAGCTCTTCGGCCTGTCTGGCCTGCAGTTCTTCGGCCTGTCTGGCCTGTCTGGCCGGCAATTCTTCGGCCTGTCTGGCCTGCAGCTCTTCTGCCTATCTGGCCTGCAATTCTTCGGACTGTCTGGCCTGCAATTCTGCTCCAACTTCTCTGCGGCTTTCGAGCAATTTTCTTCTCTTCGACTTGGCTGCAACTTCTCTACCTGTCCGGGCCAAACGGACCGACCCTTCTTGCCCGCAAGGGGCGAATGAACAGGGCCCGCCGTCCGCTCTCCAACTGCTCTGGCCGTCTACCCCGCAACTCTGATTTCTGTCGATTGGGGTCCTGCTTTTATTGACGCCGCAACAAACTGGGGTGGGTCTGTCGGCGTCAGGGTTTCTTTTGATAATTCCAAAAGTCGCATTAGTTCTGATTTCCCATTATCGCTCTTATTTTCACCCCCCTACTTCCTCACAGTGCCTCTGGGGGAGGCGCATACCATCTCTCCCCGGTCTCTCGTATGTCAGGTGACCGTTTTCGACCAATGGGTCTTGGTCGAGCGTCCTTTCTCCTCTTTCGCATACCACGTGACCTCTTTCGGCCAATGAGATTCTGGTTGGGCGTCTCCCGTCCTTCGTGACGTCTCCAATCGGGCGTGGTCTATTCCGGCTTTGTTCTGGGAAAGAAACACCTTGCTAAAAAAAAAAAAATCAATTTGGCCTTTTTTGCACGCACGAAAAATGACAATCTCGGCCTTTCTCACCTTTTTGCTTTTGTCAAAACAGCCCGCCGCTAATTAGATGTGACTTCAGGAAGAATTTTTTCTCGTCTCGCTGGCGCTTTCTGTGAGCCAAAACAATTGTTTTCATTCCTTTATTTTCGTTCAGGCCTGACAGTCAAAATCTTAATTATCTGAATTTGAAAATATCTTCACTTCATCATCGTGGGGTTCTAATCTTCAACAGGTCAGGATCTGTATACAATTCCAGCGGTCACCTTCTCATTCCAAAGACACCCCTTTCCGATTAATATTTCGTTTTCCATTGTTCTAAAAATCCCATTTCTCCAAACTGATAATGAGCTTCTACATTCCGCGGACACAAAAGTAGGCCAGATGTTTTGACCGATATTTTTATCAATCGCCCATGTCTGTTTTTCTTTCTTTCTTTTTCTTTCAAATAACAATTTCTATTGTTCGTGAAATTCAGGTTAGGCGCGTTGGCCTAGATATCTCTTGACACCTGTTTTTGCTTATGACCGTATTATCTATTTCTCCTCCTCTCCTTTTCTTTTTCTTCCCTCTTTCTTTTTCCTTCTTCTTCCCTTCGGATCGCCTATACAATTAGAGAATTATTCTCAAAACTCAATTATTCTTCGTCTAAATAACTAACAACTGGTTAATAAACCGAATAAAAATTAAATCATATTTCTAGGAATATTTCTTTAGTTTTTCTAATAATGCAGGGTGCCACAACCTATTTTGGTACGCTCTAGGTACGACGTTGAAAATTAAGAAAAATAAGTAAAATTCGAAACAAACCGGAAATAAATTATTTGTATTAAGTTATTTGGCTTCTGGGAATTCTTAAAAAACGAAACGTGTCACGCACACAGTGAAGATTTCCAATTTTTCATTAATTTTCCTTAAAGACTGACAATATAAAAATACTAATCCTTGTGAAAGTTGCAGGTAATCTGACCCTATGCGAAGGGACTAATTTCAGCATTACAAAATACTGTTATTCCTTCATTTTGTAGAATGACTTCATATTTTATCGAAAGCACACTATTTTCTTTTAAATATAAACGAGTAAAGAGAAAAAAAATTGTTTTAAATAAATGAATTAACGCTGGTTCTTAGATATTCATTGTTTCTTCATCTTTCAGGAAATCACCATTTCTCGATTTATACAGTGTAACCCGGATATAAGAGATTTTCTCTGGTCCCAAATTAGAGCCTGTGTTAATGTATATAAATTAGACCAAACCCGGATATAAGAGAAACCCGAATATAAGAGACTTCTTCTCCGGTCCCGACAACTCTTATATCCGGGTTACACTGTATATATAAAAAAAGCCTTTGATGTCGAATTCTTTTTTATATAGATGAATCACGAAGAATAATGACATGAGTGTATGACACTCAGAATGAAACCAATTTACTTTGTTTTGTTTTTTTTAATGCAAACCGGGCCAAGTATTTCTGTTTACTTGTGAAATTTCAGTGTGTATTATGACCAATCAAAATGCTTTGTGCAATACACATTGATTTCAAATTAGAACTTTCTATTCATTGGCAAAAGTTTAATCAGTAACTCGCCGTCCTCTTCAAACCGAAATTTGTTATAGATTTTTTTTTAAAAATTCCAATAGTCCAAGGCTTTTAAAACAGGCTAATCAGTAAATACTAACAGGAACATCCAAAACACATACACATTAATTTTTTTTTTTTTTTAATTTTTGTTGTGTTTGTACAAGTATTTTATTTTCTGGATACAAAGTGTGTAAAAACTGTCCATAAGTTCTGCATATCCCAGCGCTTTCAGGTATACGTTTAGTCATTATCAAGGGCGATTTTATTGTTTTTTAACTGATGTGTAGTTTATTTATGTAAGTGTCTAAGTTTATAGGAATGTTTTATTTTCCAATATTGTGGTCGCATTCGTAGTTAATGTTATCGAGTGTTGGGATTTCTCTCTTAATATTTGTGCTACCATTATTTTTAATCTTTTTTCTTTTACATGTTAATGAGGCTATTATACTTGTATTTCCTACTAGTATATTTCGAACGGTGTTTGGTGGATTTTTCTGTGTGTTTCAATGACAACTGCACACGAATTAGCAATTAAATCATGAAGACACCTACTGTTTTTAGAGTTACCGACACTGAAATTTCGAACTTAGTTGCGTTCAGATGTCGGCCATTACTGGCCTTGTTCAACTACATTCAGTGCGGAACATTTAGCGCGCGGAATCTTAATTATCGGCCTTTTTACTGCGCTTAACTGAACTTACTCGTTTAAAATTACTCCGCATTTAAGTTACGTCGTAAAGTGATGACAAGTGGTGTTTTTTTAACAATTAATGTGCAAACTTTGTAAAGAGAAGGAATATTTACAAAATAAAATTAATAAAATGCTAGAAAGGAAATAATTAATGACCAAACTTGCGCATTAATTATTTCGTTTCTAGCATATTTTTTATTTTGTAATTTTATTTTGTACATAATTGTAAAGAGCATGAATATTTACAAAAAATTACAAAATAAAAGGCACGAACTGAAAAATGCATGATTATTTACGAAATAAAAAATAGCATTTTTTTTTTGTAAATAACCATGCTCTTTTCAAAGTTCGTGCAAACTTTGTGCATTAATTATGTTTTATCTTTAATGTAAAAATGAAAAGCTTTATTAAATTTATTTTTATTTAAAAAGAAAAATCTACTATAATAAAATAAAAAAGACTTGTCATCGCTTTACGACGTAACTTACATGCGGAGTAATTTTAAACGAGTAAATTCAGTTAAGAGCAGTAAAAAAGCTCTTAATTAAACCTCCGCGCGACAGATGTTCCGACAGCTGAACGCGACAGAGTTCGAACTTTTATTGTCGGTAACTCCAAAACGGTAGGTTTCTTCATAATTTAATTGTTAATTCGAGTTTAGCGTGTACATTTATACTAAATTATAACGATTTGGGAACATTTTAAGAGATATTTAGCGCAGGTATTAAAAAGCAAATTTACGTATAAAGTAACCGCAAAATCAAAACTACAAAGAACCAATATGGCGCATAATCCTTCTGTAGAATCACATCTGTTACATCAAATTTCCGCTTCATCTTTGTAAGAATTGATCAGCATTCCCTTTCATATAGGAGGATCAATATTTAATAGTATTTATTTTTATTTGTAGTATTTTTTTATTAAAAATTAAAACTTTTGTATTTTAAAAGATTACTGTCATACAAAATTTCAAGTATTTTTTTCTATACGCAGTTTTATTTAGTGTTGGTTGTAATTTGTTTTGGGTCTTCAAGAATGTGAAGTTTTATTTTCGTGATGGAGTAACGCCAATTAACATTTCTCTACATCGTGAATGAGGACAGGAATGTTCTTTTAAATATTGTACAATAGACCTTAAATCTGGCATGTGTAATGAAGGCTTCATCGATAATATAAATTAAGTTACTTCCCTTGATAAGGTTAATTGTGAAACAACTGAGTGTTTCATGCGCATTTAAAAAAGAAAAATCACAATTATCTGTTACATTATTTTTTGTCTTACCAATTCACCGCACTGAAGATCTTAGACAACACAAAATAGTACTTGTGAAAATAAAAGGAAGGAGAAAAACTACGATGCCTTTCTTAATGAGTAATAGCAACACGAAGAAATGTATCCGTAATTTGAGAGAATTAAAATAAAAATAGACATATGTCCAGATTATTCAGTGTATATATATATATATATATATATATATATATATATATATATATATATATATATATGAGTTCAACGTCATTTTTAAAGGTAACTTAAATGATAAATTATTTTGGAGGACAAACTAAAGTTAGCTGTGTATTCCCATGTTCTTTATAAATATTAGATATACCTAAATTTCTAGCATATAATATATGAACGTTTTCTGTTGAGTATAGATTCAAAAGAAATCATAGGGTGCATTGATTCTTGTGCAAAATAAAATGCTCACATTATCAACAGGCTAGGAAAAATTTACACCTCTACAACACTCAAGATAGATTACCGTGTAAATGGTAAAGTTGAAATAGTTTTATGATAGGCGTAAAAGAGAAAAGTGTAGGATGTGTAGATGAGGTGGACAGATAAATAGGCATTTTCCTTGATGCCTGGGTCGGGGAAGCTAAGTGAAACTTTTTATATTTAGAATACGGGTTAAATCAGAGTGATTATATTCCATGGATGCAGTATAGCGTCTCCTCGTAGAATGAAAGGAAAGAGCGCTATTACACTTTCGCAACCCCACAAAACTTTACACGCACACCTCCAAATCCTCTTTACTGATCGCAAATATGTTTCTTCCCTACAACCGCTGTTGCAAGCAATGCAGTCCATATTGATTGCTAGCAAACCATAGCTACTGCACCCGTCAATGCTATTATCAATATAGTTGTAAAACCGTGCTCCAATCTTCAAAATGATGTTTTCAAAAGCCTGTTGAGCCATACTACTTGGTTTGAAAT